GTCATCCCGGAATTCACAAAACAATTAATTTAATCACTCAGGTTTACTTTTGGCAAAATATAACTGAGGACATTACTAATTTTACTAAACATTGTCACACATATCAGGTTAATAAACGACCTCGACAAAAAGTATTTGGCCTCTTACAGGCCATGCCTCCTGTTGATGAGCCTTTCCACTTAATCGCGATAGATAATGTGGGTGGTCTGAACTATTACAATTCAACTAAAAAAATATTTAACTTTACTCATCGATCATCATACTAAATATATCTGGACATTTGCATCAAAATCAATTACTACAGAATGTTTGGGTGGGTGGGTGTGAATACTATTTATCTAATCGTATTAACAACATTACAGAAGTAAGTAATGCATGTGAGACAGTTCAAAGTACATTATTTTCAATAGTTTTTTTAAGTGTCGCGTCAAACTGACCACCTGACCGGAACATCTGCTCATGAACCTCAGAGCCCAAAGTCTCGTACACTGAGTTGAGCACAGTAGGCGTTGGCTTTCATGGGCTTTTTCGCCACTGAGTTTATTTTTTAGTATGGAATTTTTTCACTACTTTTTTAAGATTCTTAATAAGCCTTGAACAAGTATATGTCTCCCCGGAGTTTAAACACTATGATTTAGTTAAATTAAGTTTATAAAAAATCACATAAATGTTTGTGTTCGAAATAACCAACAACGGACTTTCCAATCTCATGTTTTTATTTTCTCTTATTTTTCAAATAATAAATTAGTCGATTCGATATAGATATACAATTTAAAGAAACGGAGTACTCCATCACACACAGTTTTTTTTTTAACTTGTGATTACTTTACATTTTTTAGATCTCGGGTCGTAACTGAAACCGTCACAACAACGTTTTTCTTCTGGTACATTACATGACTCACAACCAAATATTTCGCAGAATCTCGTACCTCTACCCAGAGGGTTAAGATTTCTTGCAGTTCTTTTCAGTGATGCAACCAAGGGTTTTTTCTCAGATGGCAGGCGGCGATAATGCTTAGGAGCATTATCTTTTTTACTGGATCCCTTTGTAGCCAGCGATACAGATATCATCGAAAGAATAATAGCTGCGACGAAGAGGTATTTCAAGGTCGGATTCATCACTACCATCTGCAATTTGAAAAAAGAAGTGCCATGTCAAATTCTAATCAGGGATGTAGCAGTATTAAATATAATCAACCAAATTATAACCATTACGATAAATTATCTTTGAGTTTCAATATCTCATATATCTTTTATCATTTTTTTTTTGTATTTAAAAACTTTAAGTCTGTATGACATTAAACACAGAGCGACAAACATATACAGTCGACTCTCTATGATTCGGAGTCGGAGGGACCAATGAAAAACTTCGTATTATCAAGAGTTCAAATTATCAAGAGGTTAGGGGAAATCTCAAAATACACGAAGAGAAATTTTTTTTCTAACGCATTTAAATTTAAAACTATGTAATAAAACAACAATTCTACTATTGTATAAAATTATTTTAAAGTATTTTTAAAAAATGCATATTATACAGTATAAATGTTATACAGAAGTTAAAAGTCCTGTATTATTATTAAAATAATACATTTATGTAATAAAAATGATTATTAAAAGAATACATACTGTGCATAATTAATATTTTTTGACGAAAAAGTCTGTTATCCTTAAAAATCTGTTATCTGTTCCCTCAGACACTGTCCCCAACACCAGTGGTTCTTCAAGGAAGGGTCCAGTCCAGCCAATTCCCTATGTCAGGGATGGCGAACCAGTGGCACGCGTGCCATCAATGGCACGCGACACAATATTTTGGGCGCGCCAGTGATCAAAATGGTTTGCATTTTATTTCAAAATATCATAGTTTACTATGAAGTATTACGAACAAACGCGAGTGATCGGTCGCGGGCAGTTGTCTTAGTTGCGTTGTGGACTAGAGTTGCTTATGATGCAAAATTTATCTCCGTATAGCATAGTCAATTTCGTTGATACAACTGTATATTAAAGTTTATTTGTGTTATATTTACGATTTTTAATTGTTATTTAACATGGCTAGTTTGGCAAATGAACAAAAAGTGCAAGATAGTTAATGTAACAGAGAATTTCAAACTTGGTGAATCTAGAAATGTGGCATTATTAGTAAAGGTGACAGAGCGGTTTTGGAACATTGGTATGCAGAGCATCGTCTGTAAAACGGCATTTTGAAACAAATCTCAAATCCTCTTGTCAAGAAAGTGAACCACAGTAAAAATAATTAATTGTTTAGAAACTATTGGACAGAAGATTCTAATTCAGCATGCATTCTGCTAAAAGTAACATCTTACAATCCTAAAATAAGTTATTTGTCATCCACACACACAATCTGCAACAACAAAAGTCACACTAATGTTACTTAAATCCGATTTACACACGTATAACTAAAACATTTACAACTATACAGTACCAAAAGTACTTCTTGGCAGTAAATAAAGAGTTTTGAGTTGTTCGTATTTTGTTTTATTATTTTCCCAATAATCACAAGTCAAAATTATTTGATGTCACGTCTGTAACTCACTAAGCGCTTCTTTAGAAAAAAATGGTACGTTGATCCATAAAGGTTCAACACCCCTGCCCTATGTGGTGCCACATGCCATAAGTCACACAGATGAGTCACAAATCGTCATGTCATTTTGATGCAAAAGACACAATCCTATGCATCTCTTCTTTACAATAGCAGACAATCTTTTTTGAATACATATGAAGTAAGATCACGATTTAAACTTTTGTATGTATTTTTGCTTGAGGAACCGGGAAACACAAAGAAAGGATTGTAGATAGTCATCAAAGGGGCTACGTTACAGGGGAGACACACAGAGACAATACAACACAAAACATGTAAACTCCAACCTGTTTGCTGCAGGACTCTACATGGCAGTGAGTGTTCGAATTGTCGAAAGTTTTATAACTTCGAATCATCGCGTGTTGCAGTCGAGCCAGCCACAGATTTGACTTCGAAATATTGAAAGTAACTTATATTTAACTAGATATATAACTTTATATTTTAACTGGATATTTCATGAAATAACTAGACAAGTCAATTAAAGTATATAATAGATGAAAAATTTCATACTTTAACTAGTTATTCCATGAAATTAAAGTGAAAAATAAACAATTTTTTTTAAAAAAAAAGTTATTTTATAAATTAATTGATCATAAATAGTTATAACCTCTCGAAGAAATACATTTTATCCCTATTGCAGATGAGTAATTGATAAATAATAAGGGAAATCAAATGATATAATTTATTATTTTTCATATTGCTAACATTAGTAAAACAGAAGGGGGGGGGGAGAATATGTTTTCCATCTGTTACTGGCACAATTAACGTTTCTACTTCTTGTACTTCAAGACTTGCAAAATGTTGAAGTAGCCAAGCGTCAAGTGGTACTTTTTTCTGTACTGTTTTAGTACTTTTTACTTCTGCTATCAAAGTTAATAATTTTTCACGAGTAAGTGAAGCACTGTTTTCCTTTGTCCCCCGCTTATTTAATAAAGTTTCAAATATTTCCAATTGCATTTTTCTTAGAAACAGGTTGATCTTCCATTCTTGAAGAAGTCATTGCTTGAAAGTAGGTGAAAATATTTGTTAATAATCCAAAATGTAAAACGTTAACATAAATACATCGCCTAAATTCTACGTTTAAAAGCAACGTAATGAAGTGTACACACATACACGTCGTTTCAAAGCAGCTATAAGTGTTTCAAAACTGATTAAAAGCAGCTAAAATCTGTTTGAAAAACTTTCGAGTGCCGTATTTCATACTTTAACGATCAAGTATTCGTTATTCTACTAAACACTCTGTTAAATAGTAGAATTCAATAATTTTATACACTTTAACTGACTTGTCTAGTTATTTCATGAAAGTTATTCTATGAAATAATGAATGTCCGGTATACATATATATGAAATAAGCATTGATTTGTATGATAGTTACGTCTTAGAATTTCCTCAGGTCCCGGGAGTCTAAAACTAGGTTCTACCTGTAATCCTATTAAACCTTATAAACGTTCAACCCGTAACAAATAAATATGCATGTCTCACAATCTCATAAACCTAGGGCACAAACCAATTCGACCGACTGCCGCCTTTCGACTAAATAAAGATGTACATCGGTAGGCAGTGGCGTAACGGAGAACATTAGGGCTCTCCTGCAAAGTCACATTTTGGGCCCCAAGTAGGATTTTACCTACATGGCTTCCGTCCGGCTTTGGACCCCCTAGAATCCTGTTCTCTTCCCCCGCGATTCGGGGTTTGTGAGGGTGTACCTTACGCCAATTTCGGTAGGCCTAGACCTAGACATTAGATAACGGACATGACATGGTAATGCAGTTTAGCCGTTGTTGACATTTGGCATATAGTTCGAACTTCCCAGTTTTTCTAGGAATATGTTTGGAAATAACATTCGACTATATTAAAGCTATTCGGATAACAATGGTATTGAGTCGATTGCAGTAAGAGACGAGGTCCTGGGCCCGGTTTCAGTTGATCTATGCAGTAAGAAATCCTTGGTTTTCGCAATATCAAAAATGAGCCTTTACATTCTTTACATAAAAGATAACGCAATATATATATTCTTAAAATTAAAATAATCTACCTAAACATACGTTAAAAAGGTCAATATAGTATCTTGTTAATTCTCTTAATAATTCTTTAACATTACGATCCAAACAAGAAATATAAAAAAAAAAAAAAATGTCAGTTCTTACATAGGTCAACAAAAAAAATTTTACTTTAATTATTTTTTATTAAAAACATACAATTAATATAAGCATGTATATGCATATGAAAGAATCATACTATTAAGTGGCAAAATAGAAAGCGATTTTCCTTGCAATTTTCCATTTTCCTTTCTATATGTGGATTTGGACTATTATTTTGTTTGTTACTATTTATTCATTCATTAAATTTAATTATTCTAATAAAATAATATAGTAAAAAGAATTCACATTCTCAGAAATTAAGCCATCCCAGATGGGATTCGAACCCACAACCTTCGGATTGGATGTCCGACGCGCTATTCATTGCGCTACAGGAACACAACGGACGAGTTTCCTTTCTATATATGCTGCTGGACTATTATTTTTGTTTGTTACTATTTATTCATTAATTAAATATAATTAATGAATTAAAATTGAAAAGAACTGTATTAACATCAAGTGTCATCCATTGCAAGTTTTAAAAAATGTATTTGAACTTGAATGGATAAATAGAAAATATTTTATAAGTGATTGAAAATTTGATCAAGATATATATATATATATATATATATATATATGTATATAGGGAGAGAGTGAACTAACAGTAGGAATTGAAAAAAAAGATTTAAGAATTGTTAAGATAATGTTAAGCACTAACTTATGGGTGATTATAATCAGAACACATTTTTAATAAGTCACTTACCGAAAAGAGATTTCAACAATGAAATAGTGCCCAATCTTTGCTATATATACAGCTCTTGTGACGATCATCTGTTGTTCGAATTGTCATTATGATTCATTCTAAACATAAAATTTTTTTTTAAATATAAGTTATTGAAAAAATAAATTCCCCTTGTTCTTAGAATTCTATTTATACATCTTCAATCAATAAATTAAAAAATCATTTTGGATTCAAATTGCCTTTTAATTTTAAGAAATTCAAAACAAAACAAAAGCTTGTCGCTTGCTAATTGTGTAAATAATATAGTATACAGAGGATGAAATTTTAATGACATCCGTATTGTTTCTTACTGCGACGAGTTTTGATTTTTATGAACCTGATTTGTCAAGAATCATTAGTCACAATTAAATCAGTTTCTGTGGTCATTAGCTTGGATACACTAGCACATTTTCAAAAAGATTTATGACAAATTTCAAGCACTGCCTTTTTTTTTTAAATATATTTGTAGATCAGGTTTATTTTAATTTTGATTATAACTAATGTTTGTATTCTTTGTAAATAAATTTTCTTGTATATGGTGCATTTGATTGCCTTTTCTTTGCGTTTATTATTATTATTATTTTGAATGAGATTTTAAAAATATAATTTTACATCAGTGTATCTAAATACAAAATCTAGAACGGTATTTTGATCAGCTTAAAACTTTCTTTTGAGAATGAGGATAGGCTTGGCATCTGTAATAATTGTCACCTTTATTTTTTTTAAAGGAATCAAACTATTCACCATGATCAGGGGACTTATTTCCTGCTCTGTGAAAACCTCCTACACCATTATGAAGCTACCATCACTGTCCGCCGTGCCTTACCACAAACTTGGTTGCATGGTCTCGAGGAATTTGAGGCACACTTGAACCTTACTGTTAGCTCTTACCATCTGGAATCATCTCATCTGACCAAGCAATAGTTTTCCTGTGCATTAGCGCTTCAATGGATCTCGTATTGTAAAGGCATACGAATGTGGTTTCTGCCACCGTATCCCGTTAATAACACTAATTTTACCGCGATGTTATCATAGACTTCTTTCGTACTTTCTAAGCAGATTGTGTTGCTGTTATTTGGCCCACTTTTGCTTGTTTGTTAACACTAATGTGAATTCATTAGATATTTTTCGCTTGGAAGACATGAGGGTTAATTAAAAATTAGTTTCACCCATAAAATGGTTGTTGCTCCAGTTATAGCAAAATTTACATATTTGAAAGCTGGTTTAATAGGATTTCTCGCTAAATTTTTAATGCATCGTTCTTAAATAACTAGATTTGTTAGTGCAACGGACCAAGACCGGGCTACTCCGAAAGAATCGGTGGACTACATGTAGTCCACGGGCCGTAGGTTGAGTATCGCTGGTATAATCTGTCAAAACTCGAACATTTCTGTAGATCAGCGGTTCTTAAGCTTTCAATCGCCATGGTTCCTCTTTATTATCAGGGAGACATCGCATACCCCCAAGATTTTAAACACCCTTACCCAACTCTTAATACTCTTCATCAAAATACTAGATCTAGCAGAGCTATTTCATTGGCGACTATTTAGAAATCTAATCTAGTGTGGTATATTTTTCAATTTTTTCATCGAGGCCTTTCAAAGTCTGTAAAAGAGGAAAATCTCAACGTTAGACATGAAAAATTTCGTGATTCCCCAGGGGTCCGTGAACCTCAATTTCAGAACCGCTGTTTTAGATAATAAAGTACTTGTTTATATCTCTATTCTCAGATTAATTTTTCTTTATATTTGGTTTGATATGAAGCTCTGAGTGGATATGTGCAGATAAAACTCAGCTTACAATTCTAGTAATTTCTCTGGTTACCTCCAGGGAAATTACCAGATAATTATGAAACATCTGCACAACCAGAAGATTCAGGACAAATAGCAAAATACTTAATTCTATAAAAGGAACTCTAATTTAAAAAAAAAATTGAAAACATTTAATGCAAATTCAAAAATCATGTGACTGTGCATCAAATCTCGAGAATTCCGCAAAAACCAGTAATGGCTTACTTGCTTCGTCCTAGTAAGATACATACTTTAATGTTTTAAGTCTGTTGCCAGTGAAGCGTTAATAAATTTATCGCTTGCAACTATGCTTCAACAGTATTATTAAATGAATAAGTAGGAACTTATTAGCAGGTTAAAACGTATCAAAACATTTATGTATTCTTTTTATACAATTCTCAACCAGTTAACTATTCCCCCCGCCCCCGTTTGAGAGCGCGTAACTACGTGTGTCACGGAAATCGAGCGATGACGAGTATACTCATCAATCACAGACTGTGTCGCTGTTAAAATATTGGATTAAAAAAACGGGTTTATTTTATAAAATTTTCAACTTTTCTACCAGTCTTGACACTAAGGAAATTCTAGAGTAGGCGCTGTAGGGTTGATCACAGTCCTCTTACCAGAAAGCATCTTTGCTTATCCCCTCCCCCAATAAAATAACTGTTCTTTAGACAGCACGGCATTTAGCCATTATCTTATGTTAGCACATGATTGTAATATCAAACAATTGGCATTTACACCACTCAATAGCCAGTTAACGTCGGGCCAGCAGCTACCAATGGGCTCAACGCTTGGTCAGCGTCACGCATTTGTCCCATGGTCAACCATATATCTGAAGAAACACTATTATAAATCAATTTCCCGACTTTTAATTTTGTCCCTTTTAGGCTAACATCTAAAAAACATTATCATCTCACATTATTAAATTCCTTATGCAAACTGTTGGTACTTGGTACACTTCCGCTATTCTCGGTTGTCGCCCCCCCCCTACAACTTATCACTTCTACGACTTCACTCATACCGAGCGGACGTACCATCCCAGCCGTAAGAAAGTGCCTCTTTGTCTTAAGATTCTTTAATTCTGAAATATATTGATAAATTATTCATACTAATTACCTATGCTGATTAGAACACAGATCTTTGTATGTTTTGGGTTAAAGTTCATTTTTTTTTCATTTGAACACTATCGGCGTTCATTTTAATGCTGGCATCCCACCACATATAGGCCTACTGTCCCCTCCAGTGCATACAGAGGCGCATGAATTCATCTTAAATTTTTCATATTTTTGATCTATTTGTTTTACTCCAAACAGGACTCAAAATATTCCAAACATTTTGAAATTTGAGAATATATTTTGTTTTTCTCAAAAATTACAATTTAAAATGGCAATGGTCACTGCTTTTTACGCTTGACGAGTATACTCGTCATGACACATAATACTGCTGCATCTCGATGACGAGTATACTCGTCAATCACAGTTAACTGGTTAATTTCCACCATTTTCTAATTCTGATAAATAAATTTACAATATTTTAAATCGACGCGTTGTCACGTAACAAAAGATGCAATCACTACGCCTGCTATTTATTTTCATTTTAGTAGCAATATCTCCAAATAAGTAAAAAATTTGAATTCTCCACCATGTAAACAAGCATTTTTAATTTTATAATTGCTCCATCCTATTCCTGTAATAGCTCCATTCAATTCAAAATCCCACTACGAACTTATCTTTATACAAAATACTTAACTTCTCTTTGCTTTCATGTTAACATAAAAATAAATACTGAGTGTGTATAAAACTATAAAATATTCGTCTCTTTTCTTTTTATTTCCAATGGGGCTGCGAATTGGTATTTACCATTTCAGACCTAGTACATTCCCCGAAAGCTGAACGGCCGCGGTAGCCGAGTGGTATAGGTATCGGACCGTGGCTTGCCTTGTCACGAGTTCGAGACCAGTACCACTAAGGACCCGCCGTGTAGGGCAGCGATGCACGCTAAATCTGTCGAGAGCTGAAACGTCCTCCCGTTGGTGTGGTGTGGTAGTTAGGAGATGGGGGTGCCAGCTCAGGTGTCGTCCACGTCACTTGACCATGGTTCAAAATTACGTGGTCCGTCGCCAAAAGCCCTCGTGTAGCTGAACAGTGCGACGTTAATATTCAATCAATCAATCAGTCAGGTTGTCTATAAATTCTATATAATGCAAAATCGTATTTTCTTCTACAGCTGTGGTTTTCTTTTACATCTGCAACTATACTTCGAAATATTTTTCTCTCAAAATATGTCACTCGATTTTCTTCCAGTTTTGTTATTGTCCAAATCTCAGATGCATATGTCAGAATTAGTCTAATAAGAGTTTTGTAATATATCAAAGTATAATATTTGATAGAATGAAAAAATGGAAGAATTTTATTTTAATTTTCGATTATAAAGTTTTCACACTATTTTACATTTTGATTGTGGAACACTAAAAACCCTAAATGTTTGCTTTTTGTAAGTATACTCTGCGTTCTATGAAAAACGTTTCACATATCTTAAATTAATTTTTCTCATACTTAAAAAATTTTTCATCTTCATACCTCTTTTTCAAACGATTGAGGGTTTTGTGTGTATGCATATACATTTGCACACACAACTTGAAGTATGGTGTAATACAAAGTCTTACTTTGCAGTCGAGACAGAAATATATCGGCTTCTTTTGGATTAACATTCCATTTTCATTTCTTCTCATGCAACAAAACTCCCATTGTCTTACCGATCATGTTACTTATCAAAACTTTTCACAAGAATCTAAATTACCGCCTTCAAACAAAAAAATTCTCCCC